CTTTAAAAGTCAGACAAAATGATTTTGTCAAATTTTTTTTCACATTTTGTCTCTCATAGTTGAGGTCTACCTATGATGTCAATTACAGGCCTCTCTCATCTTTTTAAGTGGGAGAACTTGCACAGTTGGTGACTGACTAAATACTTATTTTCCCCACTGTAAAAGAGCGTCTCCTCTGGAGCCATGCAGCTTCTGTTGGGTTTTCTGCTTACTGTGTCAATGCTATGCTAGCTAAAGCTATCAGAGATATTGAGCTTTTTCGGCTACCTGCTAACTCATTGAAAACGAATGGAACCATTTTCAAAGTTAAAACCTTTAAAATGCTCATAAACCTTCACTGAACATTTCACCGTTTGTTCTGCTTTTATTTGTTACTTCTTTGTGCAAATGTCAGTGTTCTTCGCCTTTTATTTAGCTGATTTTAGTTTTTTTCTGCTCTTTTTAAGCTATCATACTTATCTTTTCTGCTAATTCAAGCTTTTCATGCTTTTGCTAATTTGAGCTGTTTTTTAGTTTTAGTTAATTTAAGCTTTTTATAGCTAAATTAACCTTTAGTGCTAATTTCAGCTACTTCTTTTTTGCCTGTTTTTAGCTTTTTCCTCTAATTAATGTCATAATATTTATCATACTTGAAGTCAGACACGTCGTCACTCTGCAGGTTAGTTTTCTCTGCAGCAGCTCCTCTGTGGTCGAGCTGCCGGGCATGCTGGGTAATCTGTTCCAGCTGCTGAATGACGGCTGACATCATCCACAGGACCTGACTGGGTCCGACTCCCAGATCCTGACCCGTGTCTCTGAGACAGGATGAACACGTATCTGCTCTGAACCAGCTCTGGTCCACTCAGAAACGGTTCTGGTCCACTCAGAAACAGTTCTGGTCCACTCTGAACTGGTTCTGGTCCAGTCTGAGGCAGACTCTGAGCCGAGGTTCTGCTCGGGTTTCAGAGAATTCTCAGCGGTGTTGGAATGTGGTTCTGCCTGCAGCTTCCTGCTGTTTCATGATGTTTCCAGTTGGCTGCAGAGCCTCACAGAACCACAGAGACCCGGCTCAGATTAAAGCGAACCTTATCCCCACTCAGCTGAGCCATGAGTCCTGCTGGATCTTATCTCAGTTTCACATGAGTTTCTGGTGGTTTGGACCTGGTGGGTTAGACCTGGTAGTTTAGACCTGGTGGTTTGGACCTGGAGGTTTAAACCTGGTAGTTTGGAACTGGTAGTTTGAACCTGGTGGGTTAGACCTAGTGGTTTGGACCTGGTGGGTTAGACCTGGTAGGTTAGAGCTGTTGGTTTGGACCTGGTGGATTAGACCTGGTGGGTTAGACCTGGTGGGTTAGACCTGGTGGATTAGACCTGGTGGGTTAGACCTGCTAGGTTAGACATGCTAGGTTAGACCTGGTAGTTTAGACCTGGTGGGTTAGACCTGGTAGTTAAGACCTGGTGGGTTAGACCTGGTGGGTTAGACCTGGTAGTTTAGACCTGGTGGTTTAGACCTGGTAGTTTAGACCTGGTGGGTTAGACCTGGTAGTTTAGACCTGGTGGGTTAGACCTGGTGGGGTTAGACCTGGTGGATTAGACCTGGTGGTTTAGACCTGGTGGTTTAGACCGGGTAGTTTAGACTGGGTAGTATAGACCTGGTGGTTTAGACCTGGAAGTTTGGACCGGGTAGTTTAGACTGGGTAG